AAATTTTACATTTTCATAATAAAATAAGTCAAAATTTCAGCATCATCCGATTTCAGCATCATCCCCGACATTTAATATAGTAACTATAATAGGTGAAAAATTAGATAACAATAAAAAAACTAAATTTTAATTTGTAAATGATTAATCAACTAACCATAATACAATCGTGATCAATTTCTTTTTTCAGCAAATCTAATATTTGTTTTAATATATGCGTAGTATTACAATGTAATTACGCATGCTAAAGCGAGAAAGTTTTTGAATAATTACTTACTATGTAGAATTAATACCAATTACTTATAGAAATCAATAACAAATATTTTTGACCTGTAAAAATAGATATGATTATTACTGTTAATGAATTTGATAAAAAAAATACCATTAATTAGTATTAGGATTAGTGATATAGTAAGGTTAGAGCTTTAAAATAAGTAACTATACTAATCTTTCACAAAAATTTTTTTTTGCTAGAACGCTGTAGATGGTTTTATAAGTGAAATTTCAAGATAAAAGTGATTTTTTAAAAAATCAGTTTAATTTTAACATTATATGCTGATCATTCATGTAAATTCGACGTAATGGATGCTGATTAGATAAAAAGTAAAATTTTCAAATCTGGCAGAGTACATAGATATACCTGTGCAAGTATTTGGCCCTGTGATTTGTTAATAGTCATACAAAATATAATACACACTGAAAACTGATGCTGTTTTAAAATGAATAGTAAATCTGTATTTGACAGCGTCAAAGTTACTCCAGGGATAAAAACACATTTTTTAATATATATTCCTGTGATTATTTCTGCATCTATAACTTTGCTTTGAAGTTCATGACAAATTAGCCTAGTTCCATTGCAAAGTTCTTGTACTGAGTTCAAGTTACGTAGAAGCAGGATAGGTATTTCTACTTTTAATTTTAATTCACCAGGTGGAAGGCTAGAACTTTTTAAAGATCTTAAAAATTCTGGTAAATATATTTGAGACTATTCTGTATTACTATCTTCTATTAAACTCACATCATTTGCACTAGGATATGTATGAAGTTCTCCAAGAAACCAATCTATTATCAAACTCGATATATTCTCAATGTCATCATTTTTTGGTATTAAAATAGCTCTACTAACAATATAATTTATATTGCTAGAATATTCGACCAAATTGGGGTAGACAAAGTTGATAAGATCTGGCAATTTTCCTTTAGGTATCACTATGTCTGAGGAGAGTTCTATTGTGTCTTCAGTGTCTGGAATAATTGAATACTTACCTTCTCCAATTTTTAAAAGGAAATTGGCAAATTGTTTTTGTTTCTAATTCTCATCATGATTATCAGTTTGTCGAAGTCTCATATTAATTGATAATTTTATTACTTTAATATGTCTCTACAAAAATGATTTACAGAGGTTTGTAGCAACAACTTCAGCACAAGATATATGTAGTATAACTGGAAGTACCTGATAAAAATCTTTACCAAAAATGAAGACCTTTCTTTCAAATGGTTTATCTACTTGAACAATATCACGAAAAGTCTGGTCGAGTGCTTCAAATATGAATTTATTGACCATTGGAGCTTCGTCCCAAATAAAAAGCTTCGCTTTATTAATTAAATAGGCTTCTTTACTTTTGTGCGAAATATTACAGATCAAAGATTCATTTGGTTTAAGTAGAATCTTGAATCGACTGTGTGCAGTACAACTACCACTTATTAAAAGTGTGGCAATTCTAGAAGAAGCTACTGCTACAGCAATTTCTCCAAGTGATCTGACATATGCTAACAGAATATTATACAGAAATATCTTGCCAGTACTATTTGAACTATCTACAAAGAAATACCTGGCTTCATTTTCAATAGCCTGTATTATAGTATTGTATATTACATGTTGATTTTTATTCAATAGAGGAACATTTCAGTTTAGTTCATTTGTTAACTTTATAACATTATACGATTTCTCTTCCTGTATTAATTAGTCTAAATCTTCATTATAGTTAGAATTTAGTATCTTTTCTAGAAGTAATAGCATATTAGGGAAGTTTTTTAATGATTTATCGTTTAATATAAGATAGCATTCTAATTGATGAAGTGCTTCTCATTCAATTCTTTCACTTATTATATTATCTTGATTTTGTGTTAGTTGACATTCTCTATATAAAATATCTTCATACAACACCACTTTGTAATTATTCTACAATATTTCAGGATTCTGCAATTAACAGAAAAAAAGAATTGTTGCAAAGAGATGCCGTAATTGTTGTCTTGTACGTACCCTACTTGCTTCTAATAAATATGCATTCTATTCGGTATCATCTTGAAGAAGGCCCAGGCGAATGCAAGCTTCTTTGAAGCTTACACACAAATATACATTTACAGTTTTCAAATAATCAAAGCCAGTAGTACCTTTCATGCAGATAAGTAAGGTTCTTAGATAATATCTTTTCTCTTTTGAAGGTTGTACCATATAGAGCCTTCCAATAGCAGCTGTTGTATTTTTTCAAGGCTTCTATTTATATTGAGACAGATTCCAAGTATAATAAGCAAGAAATTGATATATATGTATATACGTGCTAAGGCATTATTTGTATTTAATTAGAACCAAGCCATTAAAGTCGTCTTATATGTATTAGCATGTTCTACTATATGTTGAAGATTTTCTCCATCTTGAAAAAGAACATACTGCTCCTTTGGAAGATATACTGCAAGTCTTTGTATACTTGAAAAATAGCCATATATTTTATAATGAAAAATTCTCCAGACTGCTTTTGAAGCTGAAACATATCTCGTGTTAAGGTATATTTTGATTTCGTCAATTGGTTCAACTTCAGTTGTTGCCCCTTGATTTTTATTACTACCAGGTTGAAAAGAGTGATGACTGTCTGATCATAATTTTTATAAACATACTTGTACAAATATTTAACTGCTGAGATAGAACTACAAATTTCAACATTAATATTATATTTTGTAATTAACTCGATGTTATACGATACAACCCATATATTATTTAATTTAATTCTATTAACTTCAACAAAATGATTTGTTTGCTACCTATAGTAGGTAGGATATTTATTTTCATTTTCTTGAGTATGTTCTTGAAAACTTTTGGGATACTGTTTTTGACACACACCATCTTTTATACATGGTGCAGTTGGGTTCGATATATCACATAGGCCATGCATCATCATAGTTGACACTATCTTATATACAAGAGAGTATAGTACAGAGTCCAGAATTTTGGCAGAGACAATAGAGTCATAATTATCCATGGATCTTAATTTATTATCTGGTGCAAGTATCAATAGAATATGTGCGTAAAGTAAACCATGTTTCTGAAATTCAACAACATATATATACGCAATAACTTTACCAAGACAATGATTGTGGTATAGGTCTTTAAATAGTTCTTGTAATTTGATATGAAATACTTGAGTTGTTAAATCAAGTCTATCTGCAGCAGTTTGGTTAGAAATAACTCCCTTATAATTTCTAGCTATTTAGGATTGCAAGTAAAAGTTACAAAGAGATTAGGCTTTCCAAAATGATGTACAATAGCCATAGCATCCTAGTATAACTGATATATTTGGTGTGGCTCATCTGCAAATGATAATAAAAGAATTATATAATGACCAATATTGCTACTTCCATCACCTGCATATATAGTATTCACAATACCTTTGTATAGTTTAGTTCGAAGTGACTGTTGATTATATCTAATATAATTTAAGTGATTTTGTTCTATTTTAGCATATTAATCAACAACATATTGCTAATATAAATGACTAGCATGATATAGCCAACCTTCATCCCTAATTTGTAATCGATAAAAGTAAAATTGCATTACAGTTACTTTTTCTCTTATAGAAGACCCAGTGAGAGGCATTTCAGTATACCAACCATTATCGCCTCTTGGGAATAATAATACGTAATGAAGGAGATCATATAAGGGATGTAACTCTGATATTCTTTGTAAATCTCTATTACATGATTTAATAAAAATATCTCTATTAGAAGAATCCACCTCATGACCATCACCAACTATAATAGCTGCTACTTCAGATACTATAAGAATATTATATCAGCGAGAATCTTTTGTTCTATCGCTATGAATTAGCAATAAAACTTCGATAGTTGGGTCTGTCTGAATAACATCTCTCATTTAACAAAAATTTTGAACGTAGGGATTGTGTTGATCAAGCATATTTTGTAAATTTTGCAGAATTTCTTCATCTAAATCTTGCATAATGTTACGTCGATTTTGATTTTTATGTGTAGTATCGTAGATGTATAATTGAGTGAATTTTGGCGCATAGCTCTCTTCCGATAATAAAGATCCAATACGATGATAGACTTGGCCATGAATTCGAAAATTAGAGACACTCCTCCCCTGAAATTCATCAATGTTAGCTCCGAATAATATGCAAGCTAAAATATTATTATATTTTCTAATATTTTTACAAAATAAATTGATAGTAGATTTAGATGAAGTGTATAGATTAAGCAAATATGATGGAAGCTTCAGTAAGGGTGGTAAGTGAACTTTGCCGTGGGTATAGCAAGTTGCAAATGTTGGAGATCTCTAATTGCTACTATGATCTTTTTCTTCTATCCAAAATTTAGCTTCACAATAGACACATGTTTGATCTATTCTTCTTAACTCATAACGTGTTATCCAATTTCATCTTTAATTAACTTGAGTATTAGTCTTATTTGTAGTAGTAGGGACTTCCACTTCTACCAATCTAATACTATTATTATTTAGGGTTGTATTTGTGATCTCTACTTCTACTCTTGGTTCTGTATTAGTAACTTTTTTTCTCCTTTTTAAATTTCTCTGTCTTTCTCTGGCAAGTCTTTTTCGATACTGCTTAACTGTTTCTATTATTTCAAATAAATTGTGCACTGATACTTAGGAGTTAATTGGGTAAATAGTATATAGAATAGTATTCGCAACACGTACTGATTTTGTTATTCATGTGTTTTAAATATTATCATTTAAGTATTTACTTTATTCACTTAAATTTATTTAGGATTTTCAGAAAAAAGTAAGTACAGAATGTCTTTATTAAAGTCAAATTTTTTTTTATTAAAAATTAAAATAAAATTTTTTAATTATTTTCTAGCATCTTAAATACTATTTCTACTACAGCTCCAATCTCATAAGAAAATAACACCATAAATATTCTTTTCAAATTACATTTTTTTTAATTTATTTGTTGAAGAAAGATTATTTTATTTTGTATGTTAAATCATATTTCTGTTAGTTTTCAGATCATGCCCATAAATAGAGGCTAGATCTATGAATATTCACAGTTAGAAACAGATATTAACTGAATATCTAATATTCAGTTATACCAAATTTATAAATAGTTGAGAGTTTGTAATTAATATAATTGATCTGTGTATATTCGTGAATATTCGTGTGAATATTCGCAGTTACAAATAATAGTATGGATATTCATCAAAATTCAAATATTTGTCTAATGCTAGTCATGAACATTCAAAATCTGCAAATATTTACTGATTAAGCATAATGGATATTCAAAGGATCCGATCTCTACCAGTATGCGTATTAAGGTGATTTTAGATTTTAATACTATATTCTAATCTAATATTTATAAAATAATATTTTGGTTCGTAAATATAGTAAGTACAATATTCGATTTAGCCACTTTCATATGTTATTCAGTATGTCTCAATTAATATAGATATTCACTTGCTTATATGAAATTTAATTTATAGTGCTTGATAAATTAGTTGTGTATTTAAATTTGGATGCTATCTTTTATTTTCAACTATCGCTTAGAAAGATTTTTTTAGGATTTTATATTTAAAGTATAAATGAACAATTTGAACTGTTAGTAAAATGCAAGCTTTTCAATTTATTTAATATTTAGCAAATTTATTATTTATTATTTACTGTCAAATTTACCAAAACTGATATATATTGTAAACAGAGTTTGTATTAGTATTGGGAGAGTATCATATTATAAACTATTAGATCTATATAGTAGAATCAAATTTAGAGATATAAGGAAAGTTTGTTTTAAAAAAAATACAGAGATTTCTGATATAAAGTTTAGAATAAGTTAATATATAATCCTAATTTATAAAATTTCTAGATATCGAATGCATTGCAATACTGGCTATACTTGGAGTTAGAGGCTTGTGCGAGCCAGACAGAATTTAAGAAATTTTTAAAAAAAACTCAAAATTGCAGACCTGATACGTATATTATAAACATAGTAAATGTATAAAAAACATAATAAATTTTATTTGCAGGCTGGCAAAAATACAAATTTTAGACCCATACAGGCTCCTACTTGGAGTAGTAGTAGATATTTATATTAACATCGAAGTTTTTTAATTTTTTTTTATTTTCAAATACTTATATATTGGATATATAAAATATTAAATTTGATATCAAAT